GAACGGTGGGCTCGAGGTGGCAAAAGATGGCTTTGCACAAAGCCATGTTGAGGTTGAAACCAGGTTGTCTAGCTTGCCTAGCTTGCCTAGCTTTGAATATGATCCTGTCTGGGCTTGCCTAAGACTCGACCGCATACTTTAGCTGTGAGAATGTCTTGCTTCCACGGGAGGAAACACTTGGAAGGCCGTCAGGCTCCTGGCTGATCCATTCAGCACATTTGCAGTATTAATAATGGGGTGCTGGAAAGTGAGATCAAGATGGGATGGATTGATGGTGGATCCACTGGATCTGGACAGCGAGACACGATCGATTGATAGCGCCCCGTGGACCGGACCCCACGCTCCCTGCCCAGTCCCTGGTGGTCTCGGCCTGGCTGAATCGTCTCATTGAGCGAGATCAAGTTAGGGGTCGGGGTCCAACCGCCGTAGTAGCCAATGCCGAACGGGACTACACTATGACTGATTAAGTTTTGTTCTCTCTTTCTTTCTTTCTTTCTTTTTTCTTCTTTTCTTTTTAGTATAGAGCAGGTTTTGAGGTGTGGGCTTTAATTCGGCTGCTATCAAGTCAATCACTCGCAGTGTCTGTCAGGGGCCAGCGTAGGTACTTGATGTCGGCTCAGTCGGCCTTGCATCCCAAAACATTGAGAGCCCCGTCAGGAAGCCGAAGCTAAAGTACTTTGCATTCAATGTTGTATGTAAGCCTGCTTTCTGCGAGATTATGTGGTTGTGATAATAAGTAATTATAACAAATACGAGCATGTTGGAAATAAGGCGGTAAGGACTCGAAGGGTTGGTCGAAGTGGGAGGCGGCTCAGCCGCCGGCAGCATCAAATTTGATTTGCAAGGACTCCTCGGCCGTCATGGAACACTGATCGAGAGGGTTATGGACGGTTCGTCGGCATGGCAGCAATTGAATGCGGGCATCCAGGAGGCGGCCAGCCACCGCGAGCCCGGAGACGGAAACTGCTGGCTTGTGCGGCGTTGCTTCCATGGGCGCCTGACACGGGTAGAGGACAACAGCGCTTTGTTGAACGTGGAGAAAGGCGAAGCTGGCCGGGTAGGCGCAGACGGGGCCATACTGCGCGCCCCGGGAGGCGTCAACGAACCCCAACACTAAGGCATTATTACCCCATATTATCCTACTGGATCAGTGCTGGATGGATGGGTAATTGTGATCAAACACTTGCTTTTTTGTTTTTCCTCCTGCTTTTTTGTGAAGGCTGGACCCTGTGCGGACCTGTGCGCAGCATGCCCTGTCAATCGATCGGTTGCACCATTAGACAAAGCACTCACTCATCCACCTCCTTCGTAGTAATATCAATTACGCACAGAAATATCAGGTGAAATGCTTCGTACAGTCGCACCTGAGTGTACAAGTGCTTGCTCTTGACTGGCGGACAACATCGATAGAAGACTAACGGTTTTTCAAGCCATACCCCGGTAACCCCAGGTATTTGCGGATGGGCCCTTGTCAACTGATGGGGGAAGGGCAGGAAAGCACCGTCTTTTTCTTCCTCTCTCTGTTCTTTTCCCCTCTTTTTTATCGGCCCTCTGGAGTGTACCTGCACCACCATGCAGGGGAGGACCGTGTGGGTGCTGACAGGCCTTGTCTCCAGAGAATCAGTGCTGGAAAACTTGGCGAGCCTTTTCCGCCTGGTCCCTCGTCTTTTAGGTTAGAGTACCTGCAGCACTAGCGCCAAACCTCCTGCATGATACATGACGATGGGAAATGGGATTTTCCTCCGCTCTCGATCGGACAAGACAAGAACAAGGGATGTCCAATGATTTTTCCCTGGAGCATGTATTCTTGCCCAGATGGATGGGGGTTTTGGATAAGGCCGCCTGCCCGTTAGTAATTGATGCGTTCTGCGCGGAAGGAGGGCGGGCCTCGGCCAGCTCGGGCGAGAGGGGCGAGGCGGTTGCTTCTCGAGAGATTTGACATTGCGCTGATGGCTGGCCCACATCCTGGAATGCGAGCAAGCCCGATTTTCTGGGCAAGGTGATGATAGTAATACTAATAGCCAGCTGTCGTGTTCTCGTGGCGCCTCCACGGGCTTGCCAAGAGCCGAGCTCAGATCGGAATTTCCCAGGGTGGGGCTGCCCTCGTTTAAGAGGCCTTCTCAATATTGGCACACTTATCTCGTGGATCGAGGTTAGTGCATTTGATCTCGACATGTAGCAATCGATATTAATGGAGTGAACGCCTGGCTGTCCTAGCTGAGCCCACCACGCCGTCTCCCATCTCATTCAATCCTTTGCCTGGTGCTGTTGCAGAGATTAACACCATTTTTGTCTTGTGACAGGTTGTACGACCGTGCTGCCTTCGACCGTGCATCTCGAGCTTGAGAGCACGCGCCGGCAGGTTGTCAATGCAGTTGATCGGCGTGGCCTGTCCCAAGCCCCTCAAACAACCTTTGGCTTGGCCTAGACAGCCAGAGACTTATTGGCTGGACTCTTTTCAACGATCGCGGTGTCCAGCGGCGAGGTAATACTCTCAGACGCCTTCTGCATCAAGCTAGCCTGCCGGCGGTGTCGTTGTCGATGGCGTCGGTTAGATGCATGGCCGAGCTTGGCAGTTCTCGCCCAGCCTGATGAAAGGAAAGCCTCATGCACCGAAAGACTCTAAAGCTGTGGAGGCTGCGTCTGGGCTGCCGAGTACTTGAAGACAAGTTAATATTAACGCTCGTGTGCTGAGTCGGTTAATGACTCTTGATTGAACGCCGCCTCTTTTCTTTCTTTTTCCCCTCAATAGCTATACATCCCAGGGCGGTGGAGCTTTGTCTTGGAGTGACAAGAGGCCCTCCGCCGCCCAAGGAAGGGACAAAAAGTCCATTCCGCACAAGTGATACCAGTCTCGAAACCAATTGAATGGCCGAAAGGGAGATAATGGCACTGGAGTCCGGCTGTCAGCACCCGACCTTTTTCATCCCTTGATCAAGCCCCTATCCCGCGCGCCCCTTGTGTGCCAAAGGGTGTCTGACCGCCCTTCTACCCTTCCCCCACCTTATCAATTGGGGTGGGCTGCCAAACCCCGTCGCCAACCGTCGCATTGCTCGCCATGTCACAGGCTGCACTCCAAACAGTCCGAGACTCCTGGATCCAAAGTCCTCGATTGCAGCCGCTTCCCCCAAAACAGAACGAAAACATTGACTCCTTGATAATGATGGTACAACGAGCGTTGTTTCTTGGGCGCGGCGTTTGGTGGCAGCGACATTTCGCCCTCCCAATCTTCGAGCTTGACCCCATTGGGCGTGTTGTGGGGAGGGGGAAATGCAGGAAAAGAATCAAGGCGGGAGGTGATTTCTCTCGCACTCTCTTGAGGTGAAGAGAGTGGCCTTCTTGAGCGTTTGCTTGATGGTGAAATTGATCCTGGGAAACTTGGCCCAGACTGTTCAGGATCTTCGTCTCAACGTCCTCCCACTGTCCTGGCTCTTCGCCTCCACTGTTTGAGTGTGATGGTTGATTGGATGCTGGGCTATCCAGGTTCCTCGTCCCGCGCTCCCATGCTTGGTCAATACACAAGTGCCAGATTACTTTACTCGTTCAAGTACCCCTGTACATCGAACTGGGAGGCGCCGCTGAGAGCAGAATGCTCTTCCAGTCCAAATTGCCTCGCTCGCCGTGTTGAGCAAAGTGGCTGGGACAAGACCGGAATAGTGTCTCCTTGGGGGCTCCTTGAAGGGGCGCGCAGTTGGAACTGTCTGGCATGTATCGAGGTACTTGGTCCGTGTCCCACCCATGGGCGAGGTACAATGCGATACTCTCTCATCTTCATTTTCCGTCGTGTACATCAATGGATGCATCCACAAGCCTGCCTTAGTCTAGACCAACTCCCCTTGCCCCTGGCTCATCATTGTCGCGGTACCGCACCTCGCGCTCTTTCATCCCGCATTGCACTTGCACCTCGGACATGGAACGAAACTAGATCCTGATGTACCGTTGCGACAAGCAGGCAGGATTGCAACCTCTGTACACTACACTGCACCATATACCATCCTCCCCCACTGTCTTCTTTGTCGCTGCATGGGGCCTTTTGAAAGGGCTTTCCATGTCCCTTTCGTCTTTCGTACCTTGTTCTTCGGTGGCACATTAATGAAATAGGGCAAACGATTGTTACAATCTTGTCCAAGTGCGAGCTGGGCCTGGGCGACAAGTGGTACCATTGATGTACATGACCTGACGCCGTTCTTCGCCCTTCCCTTCGGCTGGTGTTTCTGGACCAGTACTTTCTTCCGCTGTCTGCGCGACTGTTCTGACAAGCAAGGTCCCTACTCTAATTTCATACTGCCGCGCTACAGAAGACCCAGGAAACACAATCCCAGTGTCCCCACCCCCTTTGCATTTCCTCTAGCCGTCCTGCTCTCACTTCCGTGCCATCCTGTCTGTGTTTGATTTCATCGATCTTTTTTTCCCTGGCCACCTTTTTCTTCTCCCCTCCTCACCTTCCTTACCACGACCTGTCGTCCTCACAACGATTCGTACCTGGCCTTAGGACCAAGGCTTTCTCGTGGCGTCATTTTATGTTTTTCCTCGAGTCGTCTTCTGGTTCAGGACGCAAACGATTTCGACAATCAAGATAATCAAGACGGAAAGGAACAAAAAAGGAATCGCCAAACAGGAGGGACGAAGGTGCGCGAAACCCATTCCATTGTTCTCAGCACGCCCCTTCCAACTCGCCCGCAATCTTCTAGCTTCCACGTCGATGCCTCTTGTTGGCGAATTTTTTCAAATCTGCTGGTGCATGGGGCTTTGCCATAACTAACGCGTACATCTTTTGTTGCACTGCAGACCCGATTCTTCCCCAACTCGTGTTCTAGTCGACAGCCTTCAAAAACTGGCGACGGTTGCGACTTGCAACGATACCCCCAACGTGGTCACTGTTTTTGTACGGTATCTATCCCGAGGTACGGCCATTGGTATTGTTCTCGGCGCGAGGCGGGCTCGTTTTTGCAACTAACACAAGTGTGTGACTAGACGGCGTCGAATCGCACCCTCGCCGGATGACTGAATACCAGCTTCGACTTGCTTGCACTTACGAAAGCCTCTTGTAGGCTACAACAACCTTTTTCTGCCCTCGAGATCAAACCACGGTGTTGCCATCATGGCAGGTTCTGTTCCGATCCCCGGGAACATGGCGGCCAGGCACCTCGAAATTCCTCCATCGATTCCGCCATCTCTGCCATCTCCTCAAAATCACAACCTAATAAGGGTGCTGCTCCTACAGACACGCCCACCACAACTGCTGATATCGCTCACCTCATAAAAACGGCGGGAAGTGCGGAAGCTGTCATCCAGTATCTGCTCAAGGAAAAGAATTCTCAGACACAACAAAACTCGCAGCTATGGCGGCTGGTGGACAAGCAACGTGCTATGATCCTTGGACTCAACAAGGATCTAGAACGGGCTTTAAAAGATAAGGAAAAATATCGCAAGAAATTGAAGGAGGTGCTCGCCATGCCTGAGTTGAACGAGGCGTTGGAGACAAGAGTATCCGGAAGTTCCCCAGCCTCGCTCAACCCCACAGAAGGGAACAAGGACAAGTCGCCTCAGGCGGCAGACCTCGCGCGGACACAGGCTCTCAGTGTTGCCGTCCCCGACTCTCCTAATCTGGACTCTGATAGCCAAAAGCACTCGCCTGTTGACATGGCGATGGCCCCATACCCCATCACTCCACCTGCCGATGGCCCCAACCCCCTTCCCTCTGCCGTGGATGAGCTTTTAAACCCTGCCCATGCCATGCCGAAGCCAGAAGAACATGCGCTGGACGGATACAACCACGAAGCAACGGAGCGAGCCGCCGACGACGACCGAAAGGAAGATGCCAATCAACAATTCAGAGAGCTACCCATCAACTTGTCTCTACCACCATCCAGGAGTTTACCAAGCGAGCCCCCGAGCGTCCCACCCCCACGTCCGCCACCCGCTCTACCCACTGGCCTTCCCGGCCAACCCCAGCCTAGTGAGGCAGGGCTTCAGTTCCCCGCCCCTCCCCAAGAAAGGCCCCCACACCCCTCCACCTCGTGAAGGGCCAGCGACCGGGTACCGCCGAAGAGGACGAGACTGATACCGATTATGACGATATCCTGGAAGTGGATGAAATCATCAGCGACAAGCGAGGCCGGCGCAGGACTAGGGAAGAAGACGAACGTGACCGACACATCCAAGCTCTTAAAGATGCAGAAGTGAGGAGTCTATCTCAAAATCCAACGCGCAAGGTAGCCCGTCAGTCCAAGAAAGCCCCCAGGATCGTGGCAAGGATTCGGCGACAATTCCCCTCAGCCCGAGACAGATGCCCCTCCCCCATCATCCGAGAGACCACGGTACAAGCCTCACTGAATGGTATGATGAATGGGGAGTTCAACGTTCCGCCGGCCCTGATGAGCCCTGGCTTGCCCTCAAGCCCTCGACCCTTTGGCTTAGGAATGGGCGGGCCGCGTTCTCCAATGCCTCTAGGTGCACCCCCTCTTTCTCCCCGTGGTCACACGCTCGCGAGTGCACCGCCTCTGTCTCCCCGACCCCCGGCAGCCCATTCCGCTCCCCCGGCGCCCAGTTGACAGGATCGTCATTGGCGCCCAGCGCCATGGGCCTACCTACACCTACTCCCAAGCCCCTTGCCATTACGAAGCCGAGCGGCGAGAACTCACCTTCTACTCCAACGATGGAGCGGCCGAGCCCAACCCATAGGACGGCGATCTTCAAAGGTCTCGTGACAGAGGAATATCCAGACCTGCTCATGCCTCCCAATGCGCTTCCCTCCGTTGACGTGCGGGTTGCGTCTTCGCGCATGAAACCGTCTAGGGCCAGTTTGATCTCTCTCACCCAACTCGAAGAAGATCCTGTCTTCACTCTAGCCATCATCTCGCGAGCCGATGGTGGTGAACTCTGGCGGGTGGAGAAGGACTCGGCGTCGCTCTCGAAACTCGACTCAAGAATGAAGCAGTGCGGTGCGTTCACGGCCAGGACGCCGGACCGCTCGCTTTTTAGTGGCCACGCGCCCGCTAAGCTTGACGCGAGAAGGATTGCTCTCGACTCGTACTTGGACGAATTGATGAACTCGCCTCTGGATGTTGAAACCGCTTTGGAGTTGTGCAAGTACCTCTCCACCAATACATTGCCGCCTAATTCTGATGAGACCGTTGGGGTCAGGAAGAAGGTTTCTCCGGTCGCTACTAGGAAGGGTGCGGGCGGTCGACCCTTGATCAGCGGCTATCTCACCAAGCGTGGCAAGAACTTTGGCGGTTGGAAGGCGCGTTACTTCGCTCTCGAAGGTCCTCTCCTCAAGTACTACGAGACGCCTGGGGGCGCTCACCTCGGCACCATCAAGTTGCAAAACGCCCAGATTGGCAAGCAGGCGCAGCACCAAGACAACCAATCTCCTGCACGTGGACCCAATTCGGACGAAGCCGACAATCAATATCGCCATGCCTTCTTGATATTGGAACCGAAGAAGAAGGACACCACCAGCCACGTCAAGCATGTATTGTGCGCCGAAAGCGATATGGAGCGCGATCAATGGGTCGAGACGCTACTTCAGTGGATCGATTACCGGGACCCTGATGACGAAGATCAGCCGGCTCAGAAGAGAGGCCAGCAGGAACGCCGCGGGTCGAATGACAACGCTGCCAAATCTTCCAAGGGTCAGCCCAAGAAGAAGCGGGACCAAGTCAAGTCTCAGCACCAACAGTCGAATTCGGAGACGCTCATCGGAGTGAGCTATGATTCAACCACGCCAGGCGATGCGCCTCAGGGCATGCCTCGGGGTCGGAATGGCGCTACATCCTCTGATCGACCGAGGACTGCTGGTGGTGAACGCCCCAAGACCGGAATTGGCCTCCCTGGCAACCCCCACGACACAGACTTCCAGATACCCGTCATCTCTGCCCCGCGCGATCCTCAGGTTATCTCGGATTCCTCGGCTTGGGGCGCCAAATCTGGACTTGCCACGCCTGGCCTAACCACACCTGGCCTCGCCCCGCCGAGCTATGAAGAGAAGAAGCAACGTAAACGTAGCTTCTTCGGCTTCGGTCCCAAAACCAGGACTTCTTCTGACGGACAGGATTCTCTTTTCGAAGGCAGCTCAACCCCCACAAAACGAGTACAAGGGGCCAATTCGCCAAGTTTTCGGTGCCCCGCTATCAGAGGCGGTACGGTTCAACGGGCCTGTCGATATCAGTGTCCCACTGCCCGCCGTTGTCTACAGATGTATTCAATACCTTGATGCAAGGAACGCCATCGGAGAGGAAGGCATTTTCCGCCTCAGCGGGTCAAATGTCGTTATCAAGCAGCTTCGAGAGCGATTCAACACTGAGAGTGACGTGGACCTTGTGAACGACCGCACCTTTTACGATATTCATGCAGTGGCCTCGCTCCTAAAGCTCTATCTCCGCGAGTTGCCGACAACGATTCTAACTCGTGACCTCCACCTCGAGTTCCTTGCTGTCACGGAACTCACCAATCTCAAGGAGAAGGTTGTAGCTCTCAGTGAGTTGGTGGTTCGGCTTCCCAGGCCAACGCCACCCTCCTCAAGTACCTCATTGCCTTCTTGATCAAGATTATCAACAACGCGGACTTGAACAAGATGACGGTGCGGAATGTTGGCATTGTGTTCTCGCCCACACTGAACATACCCGCGCCCGTTTTTGCCATGTTCCTACAGAATTATGAACCAATCTTTGGCATTGAACCCGAGGAGTATGAGCTACCCTCGCCCACATCCGAGTCGGATACTCACTCGCAAGGACCCGGTCGCCCATCATTCGAGCCGCAACCGCGTCCTTCGACCTCCCAGGGGAGCAATGCCTCTCCTCACCGTCAACGACTTCTCCAAAATGTGATGGATGCTCCTCGAGCCTCACCCACTCCACCTCTGCTCATGAATCTCAACGAGGCTCGTGGCTCGCCAACCCCCACCAGCCTTCCCTATGAACCGTCCGACGGTCTATGAGCCCCAATATCTGGCCCAACAAGGTTCTTCGGGCCCGGTCTTACGACCAGCTTATGAGAGTGGATTTGTTGTGCCCCTGGGTTCGATCCAACGTCATTCTATAATCCCCCCGCGGCCTAACAACCCTGGATATGACCGGCCCATCTATGAGGGCGATTTCAACAAGCGTCGGGAGAGTGCTATCTTTGGTGTAGGCGCTGCCCCCAACCTTACCCCCAGGCCTCCAAGAGCCGCCTTCGGGAAGGGACCCCGTACTAAAAGAGATGAATTTCTTCCTCTTCTCGCCCTTGATTTAATATGACATGATTCCCATTCATTTGAAGGGGATGAAGAAAACATGGCTCACCAGCAAGCCTCCAGCCGGACCTCCGTTTTTGCAACATAGCTTAGGAGAGGATAGCGTTTATAACGCTCATATAAGCTTGCGCAAGATACAACTGGCACGATGATGACGAACTCACCACGCTACGCGGATAAATGATCAGCATCCCAACTGCTTCTACGGTCTCGGCCGGCTCCCAGAACCGCTATGAGAGACGAAGCCTTTGTATAATACTTCTTGAACCCTGGACTTGCTTTTTTGGCTGGACGTCCACCAGCCCCATACCCTTTGAAAGGCAGACGTCCACAGATTGCTGCAATGCCACCAACCTTCCTTTTCTCAAACTTCTTCGGTCTTGTTTATCCGCGCCTTCTCTTTGCCTTTTTATCTATCTATTTTTATGGGAATATCGAGTACTTGGGTAACGCGGGCCTCGGAGGGCAGCTAAGGAACACCAAGGCTTATCCCACTTGATTTTGTCTCAGATGATGATGAAGGAGGTGGGCGAGTGGGTTTACCGAGTAGTCGCTCGGCAGAGGCGTCTTTGGAGTTGGATATCAAGCGGGTCTTTTCTTTTTCTCTCTTTCTCTCTTCCTTTTTTTCTCACTTACGTTCACGTCGTGTATATACCCCCTCGAACCGGGTAGGGCGCTGCTTTCCATATAACCGTAATGATATCATTTTATCTTTTCTAAAAATCAAGACCTGTTGCAACGTACTTGACATGTTTTGTGGAACTCCTGCTCTCAGTGTGCATTGGCCCCTTTGGACAGGCCTGAGATCGGTCCAACACGAGAATACGATGCGTGCTTACATAAGCGACATTTTGCCTCCTGACGTTTGACGTCGGGGTTTTTCCCCGCGGTCTCCGATGCACGATGCACCCCAAGCGACGACGTTGGAGAAAAAGCATCGACTACCGGCTCTCGTGACTACTTTGGTCCATAAAGGTGCCGAAAGCTAAATTCCGGTGCATTACATTACGCAGTGGATCCTTCAAGGAGGTTGCCCTTTTCTTCCGCCAGCGGGCGGCATCTCTCACCCTTAATTTACTGGGGCTGACCGCCCGCCCCCGAGGCAGGCTCATTTGCCATGGGCCCGATATCACGGGCTTCGGAGGGTAGCCCGCACACATTAGTCGGGTCTTCTGTGGCATCATCGCCAGGGGAGAGCGGCTCAGTTGCCGCGGCGCGCTTATTCGACCCTTCAGCGCAGAGAGGCTCCGCGGTGGACGCGCCACTAACCGCCACAGTAGGCGACGGGGCCCTTTCGACGGCCGCCGGAGGTCCGTTAGGGCGTAGCACGCCACAACATGCGACAGACGTTCTCCCAGATCACGCAGACGATGCCAAGAGACCCCGCGCCTGCGAGGCGTGCCGCGGCTTGAAGGTGCGGTGCGAGATGGCCGAGGACGGACCGTGCCGGCGGTGCTTAAAAGCGCGGAGGAGGTGCGTCGTCACTGCGAGGACGCGCACGGGAGAGAGGCAGAAGAAGACGGACACGAGGGTCTCGGAGCTCGAGAAGAAGATTGACGCCCTGACGGCGACGTTACAAGCCAGAACTGGCCCGGAACCCATGACCGTGCCGCTTGGTGCCTCCGATGTGCCGCTCGGGCCCGGTGGTCGACCGGCGAGTATTTCCTCGAGCGCTCATCAGTCGTCCGTCACAGCGATCCTGTCACCGGATAGCGACGCAGCGTCCGCGCCCGAGCGCGTCGGATCCTACGCGTCCACGGGCCAGAAACGGAAGCTGACCGACATCTTTGGCACCGAAAGCAGGGAAGCCTCGCAGAAGAAGCCGACGACGGCAAAGGAGTCGAGCCTCGGTGCGGACTACGTTGATTTTGTGGATAGGGGCGTGATGTCTCCAGAGGTGGCGGAGGAGCTGTTTGCTCGGTATAACCAGGAGATGGTCTATCACCTGCCCGGCGTCATCTTCCCCCGACGGAGAGGGCCGTTGATTTACGCAACGAAAAGCCGCTCTTGTTCCTCGCCGTTATGGCGTCGGCGGCGGCGGCGCGACCGGAGCTCCAGCGGCAGCTCATCAAGGAGCTGATGGAGATTTTTGCGCGGAAAGTGATTTGCAACGGCGAGAAGAGCCTCGAGCTCGTGCAGGCCCTGCTCGTCTCCGTCGCGTGGTACTTTCCGCCGGACAACTTCGAGGAGCTCAAGTTTTACCAATTCATACATATAGCCTGCGTCATGGCGCTCGACCTAGGCCTCGGCCGCGCCTGCCCGGTGCGACGGAAACCGACCGGCGCGGCGAGCAACGCGATCAACTTTTTCACCTTTCGCCCGGGCAAGGAGGATCCCGAGAGCCTCGAGTGCCGGCGGACGTGGCTCATGTGCTACTACCTCGCGTCCAACGCCGCCATGGGGCTCCGCCGACCCTACCTCGTCCGATGGAGCGTGTTTATCGAGGAGAGCCTCAAGTTGCTCGAGACGTCGGCGGAAGCGGCGCCGACGGACAAGCAATTCTGCATCCTGCTGCGGATCAACAAGCTCGGAGAAGATGTGTCGACGCGCTTCTCCGTCGACGACCCCGCGATGGCGGCAACCCTGCAAGATTTTGGAACGCAGCTCGCCCTCCGCGGGTTCGAAGTGGAGCTGGAGAGGTTGAAGCGTTCCATACCAGAGTCACTGATGCAACGTAAGCCTTGCGACCATTGTTTCAATCTTTTTTTGTATTCATTCATTCATTATTATGGTTGTTGGCTTTTCACCTCGGGCACGAACTAACATGAGGGCCCCTATACAGCTGTGATAATACTCGGGATTGAGTACCTTAATATATACATGCACGAAAGCTGCCTCCAGAACGCAAATACGGACACGTTCAAGAGCTGCCTCACCACCGCGACCATTGATACAATGCTCAACCCAAAGGCCATGGGCAAGGCGCAAATCGATGCACTGCTCGCCTGCGTCGCGGCAATCACGACGTCGTTTGACACGTTCCTAGGCATGGATATCGCGAGAGTGCGCTGCCTTCCCGTCTTCAACTTTGTCCGCATTGCCTACTCGCTCGTTATCCTTATCAAGGTCAACCTCGCCATGTCAGCGGCGGAGACGCCGCTCACCACGATCATCGCGGATAACCTCAGGGCCGAAACGTACCTAGATTCCTTACTGGCCAAGCTCTCAGAGGCATCCTCGGAAGGCAGATGCCGGCCAGCGGGAAAGTTCTTATCAGTCCTCTCGACATTGAAAGGGTGGTTCACCAACAAGGGCGCACAGCAGCGTAAGAACGGCAGGCCTGAACGCCACAGCGGGAACGAGGCTGGGCCCGGACTTCGACCGTTCTCCTCCCCAACGCCGACGGTGGGCACCACCACAGCCGAGTCCGGGGTTCGGTCGGGCCCAACGACGAGACAAAGTCAGGCGCACCAGGTGAATTACCCCGCCACATCAACCGCAAATACGCCGCTACAGCTGCTGTCGGAGGTGGCGACGGGCGACTCTGGCGCTAGGCATCGGACAGCCGACGTGGGATGGTCCACCAGAGCGGGGAGGCGTACGGCTATCAGGAAGGGAGGAGCGCGGTGGATATGCAAACGCAGGTGGCTTGGCCACCAACGCCGCTGGGATTAGATATGGACTTTGAGAGCATGAACGACGGGATTGACTGGGATAGCTTAGCAATGAATCTGGGCTTGGGGCTTCCGGTCACAGAGGATGGACTCATGAACATGATGATGGTAGGAAACGGGGTCAGCCAAGTCTCGGGATTGGGCCCCGTCATAGGCGTGGCCCCCGGTGACGGTGGCAGGCCGTCCGGGAGCCTGCAGGGGGCATGGGCGGCTGGAACCCAATGTACCAAAATTAAGGCTAGAAGCGGACCTTTCGCTTCTCTCTTCTCCCCTCAAAAACTCGTCTTATTCCTTGACCCATATGGTTCGGGCGGCCATGCGCGTGCAATCAGCAATGGGGCCAGGTGCGGGCCCGCAACACCCACCCCTTCAGATCAACGCATGTCCCAATAGGAGAAACAGGAGCAGAATGCGGGGCAGAGGGCGCCCTAAAGAGGGGCCGAGAAACGTTGGAATGTGAGGAGTATACGGGACTAGTTGCGTAGCTTCCTGATCATCTCGAGCTGCATGTTGCACGGGTGTGTGGGAAGGGGGGATGTGAGATGATAACGGAGCTAAGATAGCGTGTGCATAAGCCATTCGAACTCTTTGAAAAAGGGGCCTGCCTGGAGGGGAGGGAATGCACGAGTCCCCGCGCTGCGTCGGCAAAAGGTCGTGTGGGAACTTGAAGGGGGAAGGACGAGGAGGGGTCGCTAACTCAGTCAAGGAAAGTGGCAAAAGGAGATCGGGCACTTGCTATGATTAAGAAGCTGGGGAAGTGGGCACGAACTGGAAAAGCGGGACCGCGCTAATACAAGCACTGGCACACTAGATGCGGTGCTACGAAGTTATTAGCTGGGCTGCGTAATGGCCGCCAGCTCCCCCAGAATTGCTCTTGAATCAGCTTGTTGCAACCGAAAGCGAGACAGCTCGGGCAATCGATCTGTTCCATCTTGTAATCGGAGTTGGACTGCAGTACCAACTTCATGGTTGCCGCGGAACCTTGGGCTCTTTGGTACTTGGCATCTACGATGACCGAGAACTATGAGAATCCTCGAATGCTAAAGCCGTAAGAATTACATCGCCGATAGGGTAGCCAGAGAAAAAGAAACCAAAAAGACCATGGGCTTGGGATGGCTCCCCAGATGCTAAGCTGCTAGCCGAGATTTTGTTTCCCGAACCCTCCTCCCACGATTGAAGTCCATGCAGGCCAACCGCGATATGGCCCAAAGGGGGAGAACTATCAGGAAGTAATGGGGAGCGGGGCTCCTCATGATAGCTGCCTTAAAAAGGAGAGATGGCGAGGGGGAGAGGGGAGGTGCGCCAGGGGAGGGGGATTTTGGTCGAATGCAAAGGGTTGGGCGGAGGGAGGTGGAATGTTACGACACCAAGCCTGATCAGAGGGTTGTTCGCTTCGCGGCGGTCGATACTTTCCCGAGGGGTGGTCGGTTTGCTTCCTTTCTTTCGCCTTTGTCCTTTCTCCCTTGTTCTTTGTCTTCTCCGCTCTTCCTCTCCGCCATCCTCCATTCCATTTTGAGCAAACAAGGCCATTGCTGCCGTGGCATCAGCCACGCTGCGACGCCGCGCCGACGATGATCGACATTGTCGAACCAGGCGGAACCCCGGAAGAAACGGTGCGGGAGGTGTGATGGCGGGTCGATATCTTGGTGTCGAGCCCGGCTCTCTAGGCTCACTAAAACCCCCTCCTTTGGATTGGAAACATGCACTTCCACGGTGGGGAATCCTGGCATTGATCAATTATGATTGAATTATTAGATTGATCGTAGGTGGAGTGGTTGGTGGAACGCCCCGTTAAGCTTTCAATGGAACAATGGACTCTGGCACGTGCAAATGAGAACGATCAATAACTTCGTACGTACCCAACGTGGGCATCGACGCAGTGACATCCTCGCAGTTTTTAGGCATTGGGGGCTGCTAGTCTAGAATAATACAGGCACGCTCCACAAACGGCCAGCACCATGCTCTCCTTGCTTCCCACCAGCCCATGTCCATGTCCATGCCCATCCATACCCATGCCCATGCGCTCGCCTGGCTGCCCAGCTGCCATATGCGACGGGGCTTAGGGACAAGCGAAGTGGGACTATTTGGAGGCTAATCCGCGTGGAATTGGTGGCCGAGCTCTCGAACCATCGACGTCGGGGAAGTCGGGAGAAGGAGCCTTCCTCCACACAAACGTTGGACATGTGAGTGAGTTCCTTTCTCCACATGGCCTCTCCAGTCTCGACAGCGTTTCCTTGTCGCTGGTCGTCGCGCGCAGGGCATTGTGAAGGACACATTCAAACTATCTTTAGCATGGTTGACTAGATTCCACGATGGTAGCCACAATCACGCCAGCAAACATGAATTGCGGGTTTGGCTGGCTAAGAATAGAGATGAAGCAACTCCGATGTCAGTAGGGTATGGAAGCCCTGGTAGGCCCCTGTTCTCCATTTCATCATGTTTCACAAAAATCAAATAAAAATCAAATAGAATAATTCTATACCAGAGTGGAAAGAACAAGGCTTCCCCTCTCCCGCCCCCGCCCCTTAACAAAAGAAAGGAAAAGGAAAGTATCAGGGAAAGGGGGGAACAGAGGGAGAATTAGCATGTCTTGGGAAAACGGTGCTGATCGACCCAGGTCTTCTGGGCGCAGGCTTTGGCTCGAGCCAATGAGCATGACGTAATCTGCTCTTGATGACTGAATAATGAACTCTTCAAGCAGAAGGATCGCCAGGGCTCGACAGAGGAGACTACTCGATATGGCTAATTTGAGGTTTCAAGTGTGCCACCCAATCATGATGTTGGCAATTGGGGATATTCATCGAAGGCAAAGGTTGTTCGCCGACACCCAATCAGGAGGACCCTGCGCTGCGTTGGAGCGGGGGGACGGCCTCGTCCTTCCTGGGCGGATGGGGTCCGGATGGCGGATGGCGCTTCGACTAATAAGAGATCCACCTCTATTGTTCATATTGCTTTGGGAGGGAGTGATAGCGTCGTCTAAAGGAGGGGCATCTTCACCTCCCAAGTCGAAACCTTCGCACCCCACCATCTCCAGGACGTGCTTCTCCAGGATGTGCTTCTCCTTGGTGGAGAGCCGGCAGCCAGCCAATCACATTAGCAAACCCTCTCGATTAGCCCAGGGAGAGGCAAGCCATCTGCCGCATCATGCTGTCCAACCCACACCGCTCTCAGGCAAGCAGCCTCCGGAACGGCTGGAAGGGCTGGAGAGGTGAATGTTGGATGTGGCATGGCAAGTGTTTTTCCTCGCCCGCTCTCTTTTCTAGACAGCGGCCTGCGCATGGGGCAGCACGTATCAATTGACCCTTTAGCGGCGCTGCTGGAAAGATGCAGGAGCTGTAGGACAGACAGCCTTTGCTCACCTGGTGGATAACAAGACCACTAACTCATGCACCTATCGCTTTCCGGATGGCTGGCTTGAGCCATTCTTTTCTCGCTTCCTCGGCGCATCACTCCGATGAGTGTGCGATTGTGTGATTGTGCGATTGTTCAATTGTGAGAATGTCGTACCTTCTCCTGCTCTTGCCCCAGACGCAAGGCCGGGCGAGCCGGACAAGTGAAATAGCAAAGGCGCTCCGCGCCGTTCGTCGCAGCTAAATTCCAAGATTTCGGGCGCCGAGGATGAGAGCTCTCTCCGGAGTTCGATTGACTCCTCCCCGGCTGGGCACCGAGAACTCTAGATTATGGGGGAAATGCGAGCTGGCTGGCTGGGTGCCAAAGTTTCCTGCCCCGTACACGTTCGTCCGTCCCAAGTGCGATGGTCGCTATCAGTCAATATACACTTTCCCTTGGGGCTTGAAGAGGAATCGCGCAAACGTAAACCGTGGCTTTCGCAGATCAGACGCTTATCTCTCTCGAACCGTGTAACCCCCACCATTGATACTGTTATTGATAAAACCCCGGTTCGACAGACATCTAGACCCCTTCGCAATCGCTGTTGTGGCTCAGCTCACGTATCAAACCGTTTCCCTGGTCAAGGAGCTCATTCGTCCTTCGCTGTAAGGCGGGCCTTTGTGACGTCGTGTGAAAACAATTATTAGAGGCACATAGAGGGTGGAGTCTCGGCCGATGGCCGATGGCCTGTGCTGTGGGTAGCTTCGTTTTACCCTCGTCATCATCAATGGATGGAATCCCCATCACCACCACCTGCTCCAAACGAGCCAAGCCTCCTCTGTAAAACACTAAGTAAACCATCCGTAACTGAGGCAAGACACGAAGGGTTAATGTAAAGGTGCAAGCCGCCCGTCCGTTGAATGAAACGGAACACATCTCTCTCCTTATTTGCCTCAGCACAAACATAAGACATATAGTACGCAGGCACTATCGGTGGAATATACCCACCAGCTCATTCTCCGGTGCGAGATGGGGGAGCAGAGACACATGTAATTGATGCATGCCGTTTGTCCCGGCGAGAGAACGGTGGGCTCGTGGTGGGTGGCGTATGCATACACTTGTACTTGCGCATTTCGTGCTACATGGGGTCAGCATGGAGGGTTGAAGCCAGCCATCAATTGTAATGAGGTAGATCGAAGACTTTGTAGGAGAACGCGACGCAGACAAGCCACGCACGCCAGAGAGCTGCTCCCAGGAAAGGAGGACCTTGGGGGCTATGACATCTTGTCTGTCTGTGGGTTGGAGGCTCCCAGCTCAAGTGCCAATATCATGAACTCGGAGGTCTGGAGAGGACCCTGATTCGTCCAGTATCGACCTTGGGCAACGTTTGGCCCCATCATTGATCCCTGGTACTTGCAAATGGTGGCGCAAAGGCGCATTCCGCCATGTAACTCGGGCTCTGGTTCTGGTCCCCACCATCAATAAATCGATGATGTAGCGTAGAGGTGTGGGCCAGAGGGCGAGGTACATCCATCCAATGGATAGATCCATCAACAGTGTGTACTGCATAGAGGGTGTGGTGGTCCCTTCCCCCCTTCCCTTTGCCCCACCCCGGTCAATTCACCACCTTCCGGCCTCTGCGCTGCTTCCCTTGGTCGAGGTCGTGCTTCTGTCGGTCCTGATATCACTTTATTATCGCCCCTTCAGTTCCTCACCCATACCTTCATACCTTTGCTGTTTCCTTCCCTTGCTCGACCGACTCGCTTCACCTTCCTCAACTCCGCATTTTCAACCCCCGACTTTCCTTAAACAAATTCATCGTTCCTTCCAATCCCTATTATACCCCCTTCTCCGCCAATTGACAAAAGATCCAGCAACTTTAGCGACATCTCAACCCTCTCCTTCCAAGCAGATCTCAGCCAATCTTTGCCGCCGACTTCATTTCGATCCGGATCACCTCCTTGCAGCCCGGCCCGGACATCTCTCGTCATCTGCAGCATATCTTCAATCCACCCTCCGATCAAAGATTCTTCACGTACGATTTCCTCGTCGGCACTTGTCTCCTGGTTTTCACAAGGTCTGAGAATCGTGATTTCCGGAGCGAATCTGTTGCACAAGCGCCGTTGCCACGTCACGGACTGTGTCTTCGACAATCCGACGAGGCCCCCTCCTTTTTCCCTTCTTTTTCTTTTTCTTTTCCCTTCAATTCCTTTTTCCCGGGACCCTTTTTGCGACCCTCGGATACTCTACTCTTTCCCTCTCTCGCTCTCCCTCTCTCACGTGTGCGCGCCCGTTTTTGAGAGAACGTCACCTCCGCTGCTCCTTCGGTCTGCTTTCTAATCCATTCCGAAAGCAAGGTCAGAAAGGACCCTGCCTCGAACGGTTTCTTGAAACTCCCTCCACACAGCGAGAACCACCAGCCTTAGCTCATCGGCTCCACTGCATCATCCCCCTTCAGCACGTTTAGCCACTCTGGCCAGGCCCCACCACACCTCGGCCCTGAACCTTGAGTTCGACAGACGACGGTTTCACGGGTCCAACTTCTCGAACCACTCTCGACCAACTTTGATTAAAAGATCGACCCACCTCAACTGATATTTCCGTTCCCCATAACCAGTGCCGAGCTCGATCCCGAAATCACCAAGGCCAAACAATATAAAATCGGTTGAAAACCTTGCGCGGCTCTCGTCTCCTCTCGCCCATCATGTCTAGCAACGATACCACCAGCGATCTCAACTCTAACAACAACATGAACCGCCCCGCAGAGGTTCCGTGGGCAATGCTGTCTTCAGTAATCTGTTCCAGCGAAGCTCCTCGACATCGACCGGCACGGCGTCCGTCTTCCCCCTGCAATCAATGTGTCTGAGCCTGTCCAGCGCCGCCGCCTCTCCGTCTCAACCTTAGGCATTCACGGCACCTCCCCTACTTCTAGCACCGCCCCATACCATTACAGACGGGCCAGCACTTCCACAAACTCCAACAACTCAGAGCCCATCGACGAGTGTGCTATTGAAGAGGATGAAATGCCGTACCCCACCAGTGCAAAGACAGCACCTTCCACGCCTTTCCGGCGCATGAGTATTGGCGGCCCCCATGCGTAGCTTCCGCCATGGCAGCATTGGCGCAGGTAAGACTAGCTCTGCCATACCTCGCACTCGCGGTACATCTCTCCCTTTCCTCCACTCAAGTTCCTACCAGCACCAAAACTCCATCCACCTTCCTTCTGCGTCTCCCCAACCAGGAAATTGTCGATGTACCGCTTCCCCTCCCAAATCATCTGTCGCCTACGTGCATATTTGACATTCTTCTCTTCTCCCAATGTTCAAGGAGCACCCTAGGACTAACTTGCTGTTAGATCAAAATGCCTTTAGCTGGTCTGAGCAGCTTCGAACCCGAGCCGAGAGCTCTGTCACTGGCCAACGGCCATCTTTCGCCCTCGGAAACAGCTTTAGCACCTCGCCTCCCCGAAATGGCAGTATTCAATCCTCTCAGGGGTACGTTCGACCCTCTACCGAGATGCATGCCCCACCGGCGCAGGCGGCATCCGTCAAGCAAAAGCAGCCAGAGAGACGAAAGCCGGACGCCTTCCAAGAGCGCATCTTGAAGGGCGACTTCTACATGGATTAAACGTCCCTGTTTTTACCCCGATGCCTGTTTCCGCATCCCGGGGCACTCACACATCACTCAAACCCCCACCTTAAGATAACTGTTTCCTCGCCTCCGAACTCACCACCATGATCCTCACGTTGCTTCGCTGGCTTAAGATCCTGCACGGGCGTTACTATGACGATGGAGAAACGAGCTCTCTATCTTTTGATATCATAGTATGGTTTTGTCCGCAAACCAAGAACAACGGTCTCATGACGACTTCTTCTACTTTATATGCCACCACCACCACTCCTCAACTATGCGACGCAAAACATCCCACCCACCACAGCTGTTCTTCCCGGTGGTATACTACATGTCTTGGCCTAGAGGCCCATCATAAGATAAAGAACGGAAACCGTTCGCGGATTCGCACCGCATAGGATACTATTACAGGCAACGAAAAGTTGGCCACCTGCCCTCTTGGACGAATGAACAAACGGGCTGCCTGCTCTTCCCAGATGAATGAGCAAACAAATACACGCTACCTACTTGGATCTTACCTGAATTCCCCTACGGTACCCTTCTAGGGATAAGCCTCGCTTGTATAACCGCGCTTTCTTTCTTGTCTCTACAGTGACTGCCATGCAGTTACGATCAGCTTGAAAGACATAAACCCTACTTTTGGAACGTACTCCGTTTCTCGTCAATTCTTGAGTCTTTCAGCTATCAGTCTTGAGGCTTTAAGAGAACAAAACATTAACCTTCTTGCTTTTGTACTTAAACCATGAGGTTTTGTTGTGGAAGATGACTACCTGCTTTTGCATTGTAACGTTTACGGAGTTTGTGGAAAGCCTTGGTTACCACGGGGCTCCCCTACAGGGTCCGGTCCGGGGGCGTAGCCTCGCGTGGAATGGAATGGAAGGAAATGACTCAAGCCTGCAACAGCTCTTTTTGTTTGGTTTTGGGGGCGTTAACAGATTGGCACTCAAACATACAACATCGCAGAGTTCTACATACCGATCACCGGTATCATCGGACTTCTTCGATTTCTGGGATTAGATCACATGTATATGGAAGCTGTGTAAATGAAGACTTCACGCTCGGAGCAGCAAGAAACGCTTAGGAACATCAGATTGACCCTCTTAGGACCTATTGGTTGAGAATGAGAACATGAATTTTCTTTTTACGGCTGCAACATGTCTAAGTCCACGTGTTAAATCGACACATATGAAGGGCAGGCTGTTGACATGATGATATTTGTCAAGCCGCCCCACGGGCCTAGGTATATATTTGAGTACGTATTCGTATAAAGTACAGCTTTTGCGCCCCTGAACGCCAGGCAATGCATTGGGAATAAAACAACTGCACCCGTTGTCGGTTTTCTTTCTTTTCATTCTCCCCCACCCTCCTTTTTCGTGAGTACATGCAGTACGCAGGTAGCCTTGCTTGAATAAGGCCACCCAGTATGGCCATTCGTCTTGGTGGAAGGAAATCGTACGTGCAGCTGGCGCATATCGATACACTAGATTGCAAGGATCTACCAAAGGAGAATTTGTGAATAAGTTGGCGTTCTTTGTCGGTTAGGTAGAATGGAATAAGCATTTTTAACTTACCTGCTTCAGAGCAGCCGCGTCAAGCATAGCAGCCCGTTTGGCAGCCACACGGCGGGCATGGTGGATGTGACGGCCCTTGGACAGGGTAGTCGGCGTCGATGTACCGGATTCGGTGGGCGTACCGGAGGTGGACGAGTCCACCACCATGGGCGTAGGGGTTGGTACAGATACAGAGTCGGTCTCGGAACCCGGCTGTGATCTTCTTGACTTCTTCCCTAGAGTCTTATCTTTCTTGTCTTTTTGCTCTTCTTCTCCTTCTTCAGCTTGGGGGCTTCCTCCGAGCCAGTCGGCGCCGGGGTCTCGGCAGGTTCGGCGGTATCCGAAGACGCGGCCTTGGTCTTGGACTTGCTCTTCTTCTCCTTCTTGTCCTTTTTGCTCTTCTTTTTCTTCTTCCTTTCGGCGTCTTCGTCGCCGTTGGAAGAATCGGGTTCGTCCTCTGCCTTGGACTTTTTGCTCGACTTTTGGGTGGGTTGGCGTCGGCTACGCTGTCGGACACGGTCGCGGGTTGGGCGCTTTCCTCGCCATCCGATGTCTGGGCATCCCTGCGCCTCTTCTTCTCCTCTTTGCGGCGCTTCTTCTCCGCCCGGGACTCGTCATCTTTCCTTCGCTTCTTTCGGGGGACGTCCCGATCCGAACCTTCGGAGGACTCCTCTTCGGCTTTCCTTTTTCCGATGCTCGCCATGGTCTGGTCGCCGGTGGTTTGCGTCGCGTCTGCAGGATTCGGGGACGAGGTCTCGATCAAATCTAGGCCGTCTTGGACGAGGAAGCCGCCCCGCACAAAAGTGATGCCGCCGATTTTCTGCCCCAAATATACCATGGCCTTCCTCCTCTCCCTTTCGCGCTTCTCCTCCTCGGTCTCCACTTTGCCGTTCAGCCTGGCAAAGATGTCCTTGACCTCATCGATGCCGGCGATGTCGTTTTCGCCGCTGACGCCACCCGGTCGGTAGCCGAGTCCGCCCGCGTCCTCCTTCAGCAGAACCCGGATGTATGAAGAGTTGGCGGCGCCGTGGAGGAGGCATGAGGCGCATCGGCCGCGCCGAGGAGGGCGCCGGGCGTCCAGCCATGAGCGAAGGATGCGCTGGCCAAAGGTGGTTTCGTCCTTGACCCACCTGTGGTTATTGGGGTCTTTGGAGATGCGGCTGCGAGGGGTGGGAATTTTTGGTCAGTGGGCAAGCGTCGAGGAGTAGGCTCTTCTGCGGAGGTGTACCGACCTTTTACCATCTTGAAGGGACACTCTATCTTGGCCGGGGAGGTGTCGGGGAGATGGGTGAAAGACGCTCTGCGTCGCTTCGTCTATTCGGGGGTGAGGCTTGGGCCGGCACAAAAATCCAAGTCGGTGAAAAAAATCCCAAAATTTTCTGGTGGGGTTTCCGCACTTGGTGGCGCCCCAGGTACAAGGTTGGGTGGAGTGGAGGTTATCAGTTTTGCCGGCAAATAACCGCCCACCTTCGTGAACGAAACCTCAATTGCCCACATGTGAGCTTGTGTAAGTGGGAGCTGGAGCTGGTGGACTTCCGCACCACTGCAGGGGAGGGACGATAGGACGGGTCAGCTTAACGCAATCAAACAATAAGGGACTTTGTCTAGGCGTTACAAGCTGAATTCTTATCTTTTCCTACGTGCACTTCTACTATCGCCGGTTGCCTGGCCTGAGGTGGGGCAACTCGGCGGCTCCCTGATGTTGATACGGAGGAGCGAGAAGTAGTATTATCGATACGTAGCGGTCCCTGGAAATAGAAAGGGAAATGATAAGGATCAATGATAGATTGATCGAGGATTCTCCTAGTTTATAAAATGAGCGCTATACAAGCTCATATCCTACGTGTGGTTCATAGGCAACCAGGGGTGGCAGTGACATTCAAATCTTCCATTTCTCTGGGCTCATGCCGTTTCCGATATATGCTATTGCTTGGGGGGGATATTTAAACCCCTTGGCTTCTCAATGTAGAGACACTCTCAGCCTTTCGAAGGGAATCACCCTCCTGCTAGTCTGTAGAATCAATCCCTCCCTATCATCCTCTCCACACGCTCCATATCCCGAAGTGAGAGTTCAACTATAGAGAGGCTATCTAGGACCCGATGCAAGCTTTACAGTGAGATAATACTAGGTTAGTGTGTCCGCTTACTATTCGTAGCAAAAGTCAGTCTAATATCCGGCTCCACCGGCAGAAACTGTGGCACGGAAGAGCTTGGCCTCGTAACCATGAGTCAAGGGCATTCATTTCACCCCCAACGCATCATCGCGGCGAGAGCTCTCCGGATTTTCGAACACGGCAGCTGGTCTCTTCTTCATTTCAATGGCCCGAAAGCTAGAGTCTTTGTTCTTAGATCAAGCCCCTATCTAACTTGTGGTCAGTCAAACCGGGCGGGATCGAAGGCCTCTCCCAATAGAGACCGGAAATATCGAGCAACCGTTTCAAGTTTACCTCCTCCGATGATAAACCATCTCCCTGCCGCCACTAGCCCAGGCGAATTATACGTGGCTAGGGAGCATGGCCGGGAGACAAAGGTTTGCCTCAAATTGCGAACTAATGCCTCTAGACCATAGCTTCGACGCCGGTTTACCGCACGAGGCATGACCTCGATTCTGTTCCGGTCTATTTTCTTTTCGCCCCCAAGCCCGACCAGAGGAGCGTTGAGAAACCGGTTGTGCATAAGATCACTACGGCCCCGCGATTGCTAAAGCACCGCAAGACAGCCTTCGGTGCGGCCTCGTCTAAGCCGAGTATCCTGGAGGGCTCATCTGCCCTTCACGGCCGCACGGGGCTTGAAATCGCTCTGAAGCTTTTGTGTATTAGGGCCATAAACCGTCTGCCTGGCATTGCGCTCTTATTACTTCAAGGCCAGGTGCAAGCTAGCATGGCCTTTGATCGTCTACTAACGCACCAACCTCACAACCAAGGATCGCACAACACCACTTCCTGGCGATGGGTCAAAACAACCGAAGAGTCTCAAGTTGAGGGCAGTTTTGGAATGCCCGAACTCTAGTATAAGAGAGCAGGCCAAAATGGGTAGTGACCCAGTTAGAGGCCAGATTTCGTAAGCCAAGTTCCAGTGTTTAATGTTTTCTTTTTCTTCATCAAAATGATGAGGCGCGAGTGAACAATTCAGCATATGCAGTGTTGTTGGCAGTGTGAAAATGGAATTGGTGAGCTGACAAATGACTGAGGCCTGTGGCAGGATGCAGTGGCTCGTGTTACTTGCTCCACCGCCTGCTGCACTCGCCGCCTCGCTCTTGAATGTGGGGCAACAAGGATGGAAGCACCTTCCAGAAGTTCACGTCGTCAGCATTTGAGCTGCCTCTCTTCAACATCGACCCATTCACGAAGCTCACCTTTTCTTCTTTTCTTCCGAAACAAGGACGGAACAAACAGGCAACATTATGGCGAAGATCACTACAATTTCCAGCAGCGCAGAGTTTGCTGATATATTGAAACAATCGCGGGTTGTTGTCGTAGACTGTGAGTAGCTACCCCGCGCTTTCGTGATGCGACCGGACCTGTGGGCCTCGTCGACGTCAATACTGGCGGTCAAGTCACCGCGAGAGCTCCTCGTGCATTCTACCTACCGATGGGGGCCCCAGAAAGAGAAGGGGATCTTTAACAGCAGTCCCAGCTAACGTGGACCGATCCTGTGATTCGCAGTCTTTGCCGAATGGTGCGGGCCCTGCAAAGTAATCGCGCCTCTGTACGAGCAATGCGCTGATTCCTTCTCGAAACCCGGCGCCGTGACTTTCCTCAAGGTCGACACTGATAAGCAAAAGGACATCGCTCGGGCTTACCAAATATCATCTCTACCCACCTTTCTTCTCTTCCGTGATGGAAAGGAGGTGAGCCGGGTTGCCGGCGCGGACCCCAAGAAGCTTCAAGATATGGTTACCAAGATTGGGGACGCCGCTAGTGCCGCCGAAGGCAGTGGCTCTGGGGGCTCCTCATCGTCATCTGGAGCTTCTTGGCTGGGTGCTGGGCTCCCCAAGGGCTATGGCGATGTCACCAGCCAGATTGATCATAAGGGCTGTGAGCTCCTGAACGCCGACGACGATGCCGGCCCTGTTCGCGTTTTGTTTGATTCCGCAAAGCCGAGTGCTTTGACTTCTTCCAGCTCAACCGCCGCTTCTGGTCAGAAGGACTGGATCGAGAGTGGAGCTGATGATCAGCTGCTTCTTTTCCTTCCTTTCCAGTCAGTCTTGAAGCTCCATACTATTCAGGTAGGCTCCAGGCTCCAGGCTCCAGGCTCCCAGCTCTATGTCACACGAATACCTTCACCTACTAACTACTACACTTTCGTTTAGCTCACTTCTCTGCCACCTTCTGACGATGGTGATGAGGAGGCCCCATGCGACCGGGAACCATTCATCTCTACACGAACCACCCCCATAACCTTGATTTCAGTGAGGCGGATGATACCCCGCCCACGCAAGCCATCACACTCAGCGCCAACGACTGGAACAAGGACGGCACGGCAAATATTAGTCTACGCTTTGTGAAGTTCCAGAACATCTCGAGTCTAGTCATTTACGTCACCAAGGGGGATGGTGACGGCGAGAAGGTGCGCCTTGACAGAGTTAGGCTAGTTGGGGAATCCGGCGAAAAGAGGGAAATGGGCAAGCTGGAAAAGATGGGTGATCTTCCTGGCGAGTAAACTTGGCAGTGAGTAGTGAGTGCGGAGAGGAGAGGTTCGTTGGAGGCTGGAGGGGCCTCAAGATGCGAGTGGGGGACAAGAAAGCCGGCGGCTCTTATTCCGGCGGGGCTGGAGCTCTCCAAGAGCTAGCCATCGTCGCTGCTGCTTCGGAGGCGGGGGAGGAGGGGAGAAGGGGGAAGGGGAGGGGTCCAAAAGCCATCAAGCTAGAATGCATGCCTCACCTTTGCCCAGCCTTCCCTTTGCTCCGCACATTATCTCCGTAGAGAATACGCGCGGGGAGGAAGAGCTGATATCAGGTGTTGGGGTGTTTTCCAATGATAAATAGAGGAGGCGCGCGGTGGCCATCTCGAATCTTGAAGAAGATCAGAAAATAGACGGTGTGTTTTGTCGCCTGAAATTGATCAACAGTCTACTGGGTAGGGTAAAATAGTGTAATAGAGTAGCGGCCAAGGTGTGTGGCTAATCAGAAGAAGAACGGGACGGTTATCGAACCATGCCTCCGGGTTCGCCTACCGGCTGTTCTGCTCACCCACTGCCAACCAGCCATCGTTGTTTTCCCCATCTCTCCGCGGCTAACGCTAACCTCCCCTAGAGAGCACCAAACCCAGCACTAGCCCACCTCCATGAATTCTGACATGCGACTAAGGTCGGTGGGATATGCGTGAAGAGTGGTGCTTCCTGCCGAGGACGCTGGACGGACGTGAGGAAGACAGTAAAGTATATAGGGCGAAGTAATGTTATTTTAGAACCTAGACGTGCATTGAATCACACCCAAACAGCCCACAGTCACAGCAGCTATTCTCTTGCCAGCTCGGACAAGAGCGCACTTTACGTCACTCCATGTGGGATGGTAAACACCGTGTTGGCGGAAATCAATAGAGGGGCACAAGGCGGGGGAGGCGAGGGGTGAGAGGTTGGGGTTCCTAAATTTTTCTTTTTGCTTCTTTTCTCCCCCTCCTTCACGAGGGAGGGGATGTGACGTCGACATTGAACGATACATGAAGGTGAATATACCAACGCCTGTCTGATACGAAGCCGGGCAATGGGCGGAGCGGAGAAGGTGTGGTTGCGGAGGGCTGGTGGAGCAGGTCGGGCAGAGTGAGATTCTGTGTAGGGTGCCAGCTGGCCTCCGATATAAATTAACTTGCGGCCAGTGAGGGGCGAGAAGCGCATTGCGAAAGGCGCGCAAGGCAGAAATAGATGATGCTGTTAATCACATCCCACATCAAGCACACGAGTGGACGTTTCTTTCATTTTTTTCTCTTCTACTTCGGAATAGGTCAAGGTCTCGTCGGACCCTCTGATGCACATGCCCGCCCGAGCCAACCATCTGCCTCATCGGAGGACGGGGGCAAAAGGGGCCCCGATCGGATCACGCATGCATTTTAAGAACACCAAGCAGCGAATGGGGCGGAAAAAGTTACACACCCTCCGACGAAACGTTACGCATCGGTTATCCCGCCATTACACTTCACGCCCCCATCAAGGAGGAAAAGAAAATAAAAACGAGATCAACAAACAGGCGAGAGAGCAAGAGACCCTTTGCCGCTTTTATTTTAATCGCGAGCGAAAGGGACTCGGGAACTGCTGTCACCGAAACCACAATTTACGATGGGAAGGAAAATGTCAGCCTCCGCCACCCCGATAACCAGCCGTGAAAAGAACACTGGGTATACCGAGAATGGCGCATGATCAAGGCAGGCCTGCAATTAAATGATGAATCTGGGGCGCAGGACTCGTGAGAAGAAATCCATAGGGATGAAGATTTCGGAGATGTTTTTGACTTGGGAAACTACAGAGTCGCGCCAGCCGCACGAAGAGAAGAAAAAGAAGAGAAAAAGAGAGAATCTCCAAAAATTTTCGCTTGCGATGTGCATTTTTATTCTCTGTCCGGAAAAAGGTGGACACCAAAACCTTGGAATGACCCACCTGCGGAGCATTGGCGCCATCCGATTCGTCCGTCGGATTAATTGATATTCTGACTAACCCATCATCAAGCGCCTGGCATGGTTGCTGTGACCCAAGGAATTGAGGAAGGAATCGCCCTGTTCTGCCCTCAGGGCACAAAAAGGGGGCTTTGAAAAAAAAAGAAAAAAAAAAAAAAAAGGGTAGCTTGTGCTCTGCCGCCCCATACTTCTATATCGCTAATCATGTTGCATGCGGTCTCTCTCTTTCTCTGGATCATACTGAATGGTTCACTAGGGGGTTGCTAGGACATGATCTGTAAGTGCGCTCCTTCACGAGCTGTTAGATCTGCAGTGCATGGTTCGAAGGTCGCCGTGCTGCCACCAAAAGGATTAATCCTCATCCCCTCCTATCAAGAGCCCCGCCAATGACCACGAGACGTGATGAGGTCGTTCTTTTAAACTTGCTGTGTCCATCCTCTTCAGAATCCATCAATAGACGGAGAAGTGGCTAGCGGGAAACCTCTCTATGAAGGGAAAAAAAAAGGAAGAAAGGAAACGAGTAATGGGGGTGTTTTCAACTAGACTCGGCAGCAGGAACCTCGCTCGTCCTCACCCTTGATGCCGTACCAACGGTCATGTATTACATACACTACTACATCCGATGATATCACTGGGCACATATATGTCTTTGCGGTTCTCAAAAGGCCTAGAACTTGGGTCGCGAACAGTAGCCGGAGAGTTGTTCGGGCTCGGCGGCTTTGAGGAATAAGGGAGAAAAAAAGAGTCCAAGTAGACAACGGAGGTCCAAGTAGGAAATGGATAGTGTTGCAGATTTACACGATTTTCACAAGGGTCCGAGTCCAAACACCGGAAGCAACCAGGTCAGGTCTGAGCTGCCCGGGAAAATGGCCGGCACCAACTAGTCATTGTTTCTTTTTAACCTTCCAACTTCCTAGGCTCCTCCCGCAAGGGGCTAGAAATGCCAACTTCGAGGTGACGGATCGTCTGGCGATCAGAAGTCCGCATCCTGGAAAGAGGGCGCCATTCTTTGTACGTCGGTCGATCGATCTCACGTTAATTGCTCAAGCCAGAGAGAGGTCGGAGCAGGAAATGATCAAACATTTAATAGGCCCCTCTCCCAAAAACAGGGAGGGGAAACGGGGAACGAAGCCCGGTAAACTAGCGAAGGTAGTCAACTTGGAAATCTCCCCTTCCCCATGTCTTGGGGCGGGCTTATCGTGGACAGGAAATCGTCGTGGCGGGCAATCCAAGTCAAGCCGTAGGATGCAGCCGTGGTCGGTGGCAGTCAGAGGCCGCCAGTTATCGAATTGGGCTGCCATCCGCCTCGCCTTCCCATTCTCCCCGTGTGTAGGATCAATGTATTGACGCAACATTTCTACGCTGGTCCAAAAATTTCCCTCCCTCCCAAGCCACCCTGATCCAAAGTCTGAAGTTCGCAACGTGCCGGCTAGACTTGTTCCGGCCCACCCGTGCTTGCCGATACCTAAGACGAGTGCGTGCTCCTTTGAGCTTGGCCAGCGCAGTTGGTGGTCACTTCAGTGCCTTGTGCCAACTAGACTGGCCTTACTCCAGTTAGCCCCAGCCCGTCCCAGCCCAGGGTCAAAGCCAGGTTACGATGGAAATATTGATTGACTGTTGGTACTTCGTAGATGCGGGACACCCCCTCCCCCAAATCCTCAACTTCGAAGATTCCGGGTTCCAATCCTGGGGGTTTGCCTTTGCGGCGCAACGCGGGGTAACGAATTTCCTCATCACTTCCAGAGTTTTTTTCTTTTTTCTTTTTTTTTCTTTTTTTCTTCGGACACAGCGCAATTGATATCCCCCTCCCTCTGTTTCCGCCCAATCCAAGGGCTTGTCTCTCAAAGTGTCGATAGTGTTACTCGCGCACGCACGTTGCAGTTGCGGGCTTGGGTAGTACGTGTTCCAGCGCTTGACACCGCGAGACGAGATGGGGAGCCACATGACGGTTTCTCCCACTGCCTAACCCGCGCCTGGTTGCATCAAGGGATATTGCCTGGATTGATTATTCAGTGCCATGCAATAAAGGCCTTGCCGCTCACCACGGACGGCCTCTCTTCCCTCCCAATCCTATCCTATCCCACGATGAGTACCTTCCGCTTCCTCGAGTGGTACGGCCGCCTCTTCGAGCAGCGCATACTCCGTAGCCATTCGTCCAGCTTTGGCACCACACGACAGCACCATACCCATTTCGCATCCACTCACCCACACCGTCTGCCCACCCACGTCAACCTGCCCAGCCCGGACGGCAAGATATATGATCCGTAACGTATACCTACCTGGCAGAGCGATGCGGTGAAGCGTGTGCCGAGGCTGGTTGTTACATGATGAGCAGTTGTTAGTGGAGGGTGTGAATGCAGCGGCACAGCAGCACAGGGCACACTGCACTGGCGCATCGGGCTAAAATAGTACGGCTCCCGCCCGTTGGAATTTCTCGAGCGTGGGTGGATGGGTGGTCCGGTTCTCGTGGATTGGGAAAGTTACGCCCTTAACATCCTGGCTGAGCGGCTCGGAGGCGAGACTGCAACGGGAATGGCCTCCCTCTCCTCACCACGGCATTTGGGGTGAGAAGCTACGGCTCCCTCTAATAAACTGGACAACGGCGAACGACGAGATCTGTTAATTGGTTTCTTCTCCCACTTACGTGCAGATATTTTAAGTCTTTGCTGCTCACAATTCGCGCACTACCGGCGAGGCGGCCGTAGAGGCGGTAGGTGGCCGACCAACCTCCGTCCAAGGTGGCTCGAATCACCCCGCCATTGCCACGGAGTAGCCAATCGCTAGACTCCATGGCGGCCTCTAGCCACATTCCTCTTCCAATGCCTCTTTTTTTTCTTTTTCTTTTTTTCTTTCTTCCTCTTTTTTTCCCTTGTTTCTTCTATTAGCTGTGGCGGTGGGGTGACCTAACCGCCCATCGTGCCCATATGACGGAGTCTTCACGACCAACCTCGTCAATGCTTGGGGATGCACGGCTTCGCGGTCAGCAAGGGCCTGGGGCTTGAGTGTCTCCCATGACTCTTCCAGGGGTTCGTCTGACCCCCAATTCAAACAGGC